AACCGCCTGTATCATATAGGTTAAGCCTAACTGAAAAAGTTATGGACGGATTGTCATAAAATTTTCAGGACACGTCAGAAATGGGCTAACTTAGAATTGATGAGATTTTGGTGGTGATCCGGATCCAATTAATTAATTCATTCATTCATTAATAAATAAATTTTTCAGGATATGTCAGAAATGGGGTAACTTAGAATTGATTACATTTTAGTGGTGATCCGGATCCAATTAATTAATTAACTAATTAATTAATTAATAAAATTTCCAGGATAGGTCAGAAATGGGGTAACTTAGAATTGATTACATTTTGGTGGTGATCCGATCCAATTAAATATTTAATTAATTAATTAATTAATTTTTTCACTTAATTAATTAATTAATTAATAAAAAATTTCACATTGAGAGAATTCAGCTGCCTTGGCGGAGGTCTGTGCTCTCCGAGTGCTCTAGTTTACCAATATTTTAGCACGAAAAGCAGTCAAACAACAATATACACATCGGGTTTACTGGCTGGTGAGTACTTCCTGACACTTGCTGTTCTATTTAAACGATTCAACGGATAAATATACATCTATACTTCATCTTCGTGTAAGAAATCTACCCAGTGTTAACACCAAAGCTTGTCGATCCCGCCGAACAAGTAGATTTAGTAAGACGATACGAGAGACAGATTTTTGGATAAGGCAAAACCCGCGTAGCATGTGGGTCGTCTAAGCAAGTAAGCGCCCACTTAATCGAACGCGCTTGGATGGCTATTAGAAAATCAACGATTGCGGCAACCATGGGCTGAATGAGATGTAAAAATATTTCTCTGATATCTGCGCTTAAATCATGTTTATAGTCATCACAGTGAAATAAAATAGTTCTGCTTAGATTATATCTCAGTATAACGAATTTGCGCGATGTCACAAAATTCTAGAAGACAAGCCAAAGAAAAAAGGAGTAGGGGCCTATTTATCCATCACGATTGGTCGTTGTTTACAGTTCCATACCCACTGCAGCTGCTACACATAAAGAGTAACGTTAGAATCAATGTATGCTGCAACAAAGCAACATATATTCCTGGAAACATCTACAAACAACAGTTTTACGTAAAGTGGCTGGTGGAATGTTCTGTGCAGTATGATCATCTTGTTTTTCAGGAACAGTTATAACGATCGAACCACCACAGCGTTATAAACGAGCCTAGGCAGGCGCAACCTTCCTTATTTCACGGACCGTCGTATGCGGGCTACAAAAACGATGCGCATGCTCGCGGTTAGGGCACGTTTTATGCTCGTCAATCAGCCCGAGATCCGAGATGAGACAGACCACGAGAGCCTGATCTCATGGCACATATATTACGTATGGTACCTAGATTATAACGATTTTAGATCTCATGCCTCCCCGATCTCACGGCGCGGATGCGCGTTCACGTGTGTACGTAGACCTGTATGTGCGCGTGTGTGGGGAAAGTGCATGGTGTGGCACGGCAAAGCACGTGTACAGTTGGGCCTGACGAAGTTTTGTGTTGCTGCGACGCATTTGTATTCTAGGTGGAGTAAAAAGCCCTCGCTGTATATTTTCAGAAGTATTTACAGGGCCGTGTCTAGCCGGAGCAGTTGCCCTTCCTCAACTAATCTGAGTGCTATTACATGCTGAATTGCCAACGGCGGACTACCCATGGTAAACTTTTCAGAACACAAACCGCGCGCGGCTTTGTCCACCACCAGACAAAATTAATTAATTAGCTATACGGTCCTACGCATAATTAATGGACAAGCGTTGACATGGCGTGCTGTAGGCCTACTAGCGAACATTAGAAACTACTGTATTCCGTACATCTGCACAATATAATTTCTGAAACTCGTCTAACGTTGGATTTCCCCTATATATTTGTGAAAAAACCCTGGTCCAACAAAGACAAGGAGACGTACTAGTTATAGCCACCTAATCTCCCCAACTTTCACCCTCGCATAACGTGTTTGAATTCTGTGCATGACTAAAATTTAGTATAGTCGACGCTGTTATTTTAGTTCCGGTTACAGGAACTTGTGCCGTATCAATCATATAATTATGGTGAATATACAGACATTGCGCCTACTATCAAAGTCTTAATGTTTGTGTCCTCTCTATCGCTTTATAAATTCCACGCAAATGGCGTTAAAATTAATGCTCCTCTGCAACACTGCACGCCTGCCACTATGTACAAACTCACAGAAAGATATAGTATTAGATATAAAGAAATATCTTTCTGTGAGTTTGTGCATGCAGTGCCGTGCGTTCAGTGAGATTGTGTATTGCAGATGGCATTTGTATTTTTATTTATGCGGAATTATTAGGCGACATATAGCACACAAACAATAGGAATTTTATTTGGTAGTAGGGCCTAAATAGAATTTGAGTTTATTTACCATCAGTTTTTTACTGAAAGAGCCCAGGTGCATATGGTTTCGGTGGTGTTACACCTTCGGTGTGAGTTTGATTCTAGTACATGCTCATGTTAGATTCCACGATACGCGGTATATTAGCTGATTGTTCATCTTTATCAACATCATCTGTCACCTTGATCAACGAGTTGCCATGATTTTACGCGATTTCAAAGGGATTCGCGCACCCTCTCATATCATATATCACTATTCTAGGAAATAGTGAGCGCTACACGCGGAAACCTGTACGTGAGTGTGCGTGATAATATGTGTGTGTGTGCATGTGCGTGCGTGTGCGTGCGTATGTGTGTGTGCATGCACACATGCGTACTTGCGTGCGTGCATGCGTGCATACGTGCGCGCGTGTTTTTGTGCGTGTGTATGCGCGTGTAATTACCAAAAACGGTATAGACGATAAGACGGGATATTTGCCATGCTCGCCACGTGCGGTCGTGTGCATTTATGAGGGGCCATTTATTTATTCTTTTACTTATTCATTCATTCCCGATATACCAGCGTCATCGGAAGACTAAAATTCTAGTCTTGTAATCCTGGCATCGCCGGCGTAGCAGTGCTAATAAAGTATGAATATCATTTACACAAAGTCTAATGTTTTCTACTGAACTCTCTCTTCGCCTATTATGCACATTTCCTGT